GCCGGGCGCCTGGCAGCTTTGTTCCCCTGCCGCGCCGCCCGGGGGCCCCGGCAGATGCTCGGGGTGGCGGCGGGGTCCGGCGTGGCCCGCAGGGTGGCCTCGCCCCCCGGCCTCGGCACTAGAGCCCTGCCCGGCCGGCGTCCCGACCTTTGTGTTCACGTCCACCGGTCGCCCCTCGGGGTGGCCGGGGCTCCGCGGGAGAGGAGCGGAGAGGAAGCCTGTTGCGGAGAGGCTGGCGGCGCGGGCCGGGAGGGGCCTCGGGCGCGGGCCGCGTTTCTCTTCCGTGCTTTACGAGGGCGCTGTGTTTTCGGTGTCGCCGTAGGGATCGAGCCCTTGCCGAACGTGGTGGAGTTGTGGCAGGCGGAGGAAGGGGAACTCCTGCTGCCCACTCAGGTGAGGACCGGGCGGCGGGCGGCGGGCGACGGCTCTGGCCTCTTTGCAAGGCAAATAAACTGTCTGTGGAGCCTGAACACCTGGCATCGGTGGCCTGGCGGCCGCCTCCACAACACCATGTGACAGGGCGGGAGCCAGGCCGGCCCGAGGGAGCGCTCACGGTGGGAGCCCAGGCCACCCTGCAGGGCCGGCCGGCGGGGATCTCGCCGCGCATCCCGCAGCCGTCGTTGCGGGGCGTCGTGTGGGTGGCGAGTGGCTGGGAGGTTGAGTGCAGCGGGAGTATTTATTGCATAAATGTTAGTGGTTCGGGCTATTAACGTTAAGTAGTAGCTTTGAGGTGAAGATGTGACTTTAAAGGATTGTAATCTTGGATTTTTTCCAAGTGTCTTTGATTCCTGTCAGAATACACCCATTTAGGAACTTGAATTTCAGGTTTCTCCCCCTGAATGATGATTTTTATGATTGCATCTGGAAAAATAATTGCTAACATTTTACTGGGAATCTCTAGCATAGAGGGCTGCCAGCTGCAATGGTTACGTTACTGTAAAGCTTTTGTGTTGATTTTAAAGTTGAATTTGTACAAGAAAATTCTCCTTGACTGCAAAGCGACATTTAAAAATATAGTATAGTTGGCTGTTTTTCACCAGCAGCAGTAGGGACCCAAAATGCATGGGGTGGTTGGATTAGAGAATATTCAGCTTGTGTGTGGTCAGTTTTTCAGTGTTCATTACTTCCCATGTTACCAGTGGCATTAAAAACAGGATGTGTAGCTGAAACTTCACTGAGAGGCTGTGCAGTTTTACATTTCAGCCTTGTACTATATGAAAGCATTGAGACTGCTGGTTTTGAGATGTTTGGAATCCTCATTTAACCAGGAGTAATGAATAACAGCTTCGAGGCAGAGAGGTGCTCTTAGAAGAGAATTTTCCTGAAGGCCAGCAGGCTGCCTGAGACCAGCCCTATAAGAACAAGCCCAGTTGGCAAGTAGTCTTTTCTTGAGAGCTTGTTTGGAGGTTCTAGCAGGGGAGCGCAGCTACTCCTATACCCTTGACGGAGGATCAATCCTCCTCTATGGGGGGGAGGTGAGGGTGGTGGGGTGGTGGTGGTGGTTGAGTGCGCAGCTTCAGGAGGGACACACATGGATCGTTGAGGGAGGAAGGGGACACCTGCCTAGCCAGGCAGATCAGCTGAATCAACCCTGGCAATCAGTGGGGTGACAGATGTCGCAGCCTGATCGCCCTCACATCTGCAAGTAGTCTTTTTGCCTAAGAGTTTATCCCCACATGGATTTTTTCCTGACTGTAAATAATATCCGTGTGTTGTCCAAGTTTTGGCAAATGTATGAAAATAAAAAGAATAAAATTGGATGCTAAACAGTGAATGCACTTTTAAAAATAGTTGTGGTTATGAACATTAGAGTTGTTCAGCAGTTGAGCAAGTGACATTTGGGGGCTGAGAAGTCTTTGTTTTGAGGAGCTGCACTGTGCAGTGTAGAAGGGGAAATAGCACCCTTGTCCTCTGCCCCCTGGACGCCAGGAGCTCTCCCTGTTTCCTTTTTAATTCTCTTAGGTTTTGTTGTTGTTTTCTGGTGGGTTGTTTGTTTTGAGGCAGGCTTTATTCACTGTGGTCTCCCACTCTAGGGCCCCAGCGGTCCTCCTGCCTCTGTTTTCCTGGTAGCCGGGACTGTGGGCATGTGCCACTGTGCTGCACTCCTTGCCCCTGCTTGAACAATTGAGAATGTTGCCAGACATTGCCAGGTGTTCCAGGGAAGCAAAGTTGCCTTGGGTGAGAAGCGCTGGACTGTTTGTATCCTTGTGTATTTGCATTTTGCTCGGTTGTAGGCTCTACCTCTGATAGTGTTAGAAGCCAACCCAGACTAAAAGGAAAGCAGATCTTAGACTTTCACTTGTGGTAGCTCAGGTGAGGAGGTAGTCACGATGTGCAGACAAGGAAATGTCAGGGTCTGTGATAGGATTACTTGCTCTCTTTGTGTACTTCAAAGTAATTTTGTTAAATGCTTGATTCTAGTTCAGTTTTGTTGATGTGTATAGTTTATTTTGATTAAAACAGAAATTAAGAGGCTGTCTTTTTGAAATTCTCTTTATAGAGGCGTTTATGAGCTATTTTAATCAAAGCTATAATGAAAATGAAATTGGCATTTGAAATAGTTTTCTAAATATTTGATCTTTAGGTATATTTTTCAGAAACTATCTGACCCTGCATGTGCCTGGCCAGGCATATCTCATAGCATCAGAGAGTTCTGAAGAAAGTTTCTTTCCTTTTTCTTTTTTTGCGGTACTGTGGATTGAACACAGGGCCTTTACATCCACAGCCTTTTCTTATTATTTTGGGAGTCTCACTAAGCTGCCCAGGTTGTGCTTGAACTTGGAATCCTCCTTCCTTGGCTTCCTGAAGTACTGGGATTAGTGGTGTGGGTTCCCACACCTGGTTTGAAGAAAGTTATTTATTTATTTTTGTATTTAGTACAGGGCCTAGAGAGTCTCACTACACAGATCGGACTTGTAGTGATCCTCCGGTTTTCAGCCTCCCAAGTGCTGGGATTACCGGTACGCGCCACCATGCCCATTTCATTTGCCGTCTCAGTGTACTCTGGGTCAAATCCTGGTGCCTGTGGTCTGCCTAAGCAGGTGCTTTAGTCTGCTGAGCTATCTGGCTGGCCCTGGAAGAAAGTTATTTTTAAGGAATTCTTTTCAAAGACTTTTGAATTTTGTCTCTTTTCAGAAATGCTTGCTTGTGTGCATGGTAAGGAGTCCGTTGAAAAGAGAATATTTATAGATCTTATTTAAATATGAGGGAGTTTTTTTGCTCAGTTATGGGTAGATGATGATGATGATTATTATTATTATTTTGGTGGTACCAGGGATCAAACTTAGGACCTCATGCTTGCCAGGCAAGCACTTATTCCCCTGCCCTTATGGGTAGATTGAATTCCTTCATACAGAAAGACTAGAAGATGGTGTCAGAACCTGAATTTTCAGTCATAGGTGAAGTAGCATCAGAGAATGTGGCATTCAATCAACAATAGTAAAGTATTTGCCAATATTAATTAATTATACATTTATTTAGAAAGTTTGCTGTAGATTTTTCTCCCCCCACCCTTTTTTTTTTTTTTTTTTTTTGGTGGCTGGCTCAGCCCACCCTAGGGGCGGGGCTGGCTGGCATGTGATGTGGGGGGATCAAACCATGGTCCCTATGCTTTGCCTAAGCTTGCCTAAGCAGGTACTTTAGACCACTCAGCTATCTTGCCAGCCCCATTCTCCCCCTTTTTCTGAAGGAGGTTTTAAGTGAGGAGCAACTTGTGTAGCCAAAGATAACAATTGAAGACCCTTTGGTCAGGCTTCCTAGATATGAATCCTGACTGTCCCTTTTACCTCTGTCCATTGATTTCTTTCTCTGTGCATTTACTTTGGTGCTGGGGACAGCAGGCAGGGCCTCACACATCTTGGCCACATTCTACCACTGAGTGCACCCTGCTCCAGCTCACCTCTTTGTCCTCAGTGTTTTCATCTGTGAAGTAGGGGGTGATGGTGCTGATCTCGCAGGACTTTGAGAGGATTAGGTGTTTGAGCTTCCTGAGTACCTGATGAAGGTTACTTGTTTTGGCGGTTTCTCAGCTGACCCATAGGGTTGTTCATTAAGAGACATGAACAGTTATCCTGTTTGGAGAGACTGAACTAGTACAGATAGCTCAGTATCATGCTTCTGTGGCTATGTAGAAAGTTATGTTATTCATATTTCTTGAATAATGTAGTGCTGGAGGTCAGACGCAGGGTCCCATGCATGCTAGGCAAGTGCTGTGCCTTAGGGCTATTCCTCAATCCCTGTGTGTAGTGTTTTATGTTGTACAATTATAGGATGTAATAATACAGAACTGTGTTTTTCCATGGCCATAAGATGAGGGAAGAGAAATAATGTGATTTTGTTCTTAGTTTTACAGGCTTTTCCTCTCCTCTGAGTATACTTTAACACACTAAACCCAGAATGGTGATGACATAGAAACCAACAAGTTGTCATTATTCACTTATTGTCTACAGGTAACTGTGTGTATGCAAGGTACAGCTTTCTGTACCTTCTTCCTTCTCTTTCTGGTTTCCTGTGACCCACTCACAGGGCGATGGCCTGTTTTTGAGCTTTTTGCAGTCTGAGCCTCCAGTCACTCCTCCAGGACTCACTCTCCAGCCTGACCCTTGGCTGAGTGAACCCATCGTGTTACCCGCTGAATGAAAGAACAGATGTTGCTGCCCTGCTGGTGGTTCAGGGAAGTCCTTTCCAACTCCTCCCCTGTAGCAGCCTTGCCATCCTCTCTTCCCGCTCCTATTTCTTGGTGGTGTGAAAAGAGAACTTTTGGCCTCCTGTGCAGGGCCAGTGTTCTACTTGAGCTTTGCCTGCAGCCCCATCAGTTTTCCTGAGCTGCTTGTAGAGATTTGCATATCTGGATATTTTTACTTTGTCTCAGATGTCCTTGTTGCCTCACTTCCATTTCCCTTAAGGAGGTCTGTGCTGTTGAGGCCCTGGGTCTCTCCCTCGGCATCCAGAATCCATCAGTTTGTGAAGCCTTTCCAGTGAAGGAGAGGTGATCACAGTGCCCTGCTCTGTTTCTGTATTTGTGGGCTTACTCTGTTCTGAAGACTGCAGGTAAAATGCTTTACATATTGATTTCCCATTATTGTTTGATTATATTTTCTTGTCAGTCCTGGCAAGCAGGGACAGTGTAAAGCACCACCTCCTAAACCATGTGGACTTGTCTGAGAAGACTCACTCCTGATGCCCTTGTTAATCGGGTTTGGGACATGTAGATGGGTGCTGGCTAGGAGCAGCTGCTACCTGATGCAGGGTCTGCCTGGGCCAGCCTGGGCTGGCTCAGGGCCCGATTGGCCTATATGTTTATCCAGCAGACACTGACCATTTATTTGCCCTGTTGAACCCCAATTATCCATGGTGAATAAGAAAGCCTCTGCTTTAGAAAAATACCTTGTTTAGGGCTGAGGGTAGAACTCACCTAGCATGTATGAGGCTATCAGCTGCATACCTAGAAACACAAGAAAAACCCCAAAACTTGCTGATTACTCTCCTCAGGTTTGAGGGCATAGATAACGGAAACTGGCAGAAAGTGAAACAGGAAATGGTATGCTGAACATCTGGGTTCTTTTTATTATCTCAGGCACTGGGTTGTGTAATAGCATTTCACTCCAGTCAGTGAATCATTGACTAATACTTGGAAGTCTTTTTGTCTTAGAGACTTACTTTTATTTAATCTATTTCTGCTGTCAACATAAAAAAAAATAACATGGGTCGAATACTACCTGTATGTTGTATGAGTTAACTCATGTTCACACACCAAAAGTAGGAGGTATTATGACTTGATTTTATAGTTGAAGAAGTTCAGGTGCTGGATAGTTAGATAACTTGTCTAAGTAACTCCTGGGTCACTAGTAGGATTTGAACCCAGGAAGTATTTAGCTCCAGAGCTAGAGCTTGTAGGTTCTTGAGTGGGGGATCAACATGATGACATTGAGTGCTAGGTCCATAGATGTGGATAGTAATGATTGACATTCAGGAAGATTGGTCTTACAGTGCTATATGGGTCATATTAGAGGCAGCAGTCTTAAAGCATAGCAGAAAGCCCTGAATGTCATGGTAATTCAGGAAGTTGATACAGTGGGCTGGTTGCTGGCGGAAGGGGTAGAGAAGAAAGGATGAATTTGAACTTCTCTTAGAGGCAAGTAGAGGGAAATAGGGCAGGGTGACCCTAAGGTTTCCTGGGGTCTGGGCAGTGTGATGGCAGTTTTCAACACAAAGGGGTGGCTCAACTCTGAAACCACTCAGCAGGGGGCAGATCTTGACAAGCTGGTGGTGTGTGCCTTAGCTTTGCAGGGAGCTGAGCTCAGGGCTGTTTATGCATCCTGTAGACATTTGGACATAGTACTGTTGAGTTGTAAAGTAGTCTACCCTATAAGGTTTATGGAATTCCCTCCATGTGCTGGTCTCTGAGGACAACTGCATGGTTCTGGTCTGGAGTAGAGAGGGACAGGTTGTGGAGAACCTTCAGCTGTGCTAACGTGAGGGATTAGTGTCTTGAGGCTACAACCCTGTGCACAGGGGTCTGGCCCCACGACTGGTGGCCACAGGAGAAGCAAGGTCTGGAGAGATGCCAGGGAACCAGAAGAGTCTGGATTCAGCGGTGGTGAGCTTCCAGAAAGAATAACACATCTGAAGCTTGTCTATCTAGCGGCTCTGTTGAGTTGGGCCAGGCTGCCCTTCTTAACTGCCCTCAGTTGAATTACATATCTTCAGATTTCCGCCCAGTAAGCCTGGCAAAACTTTGGATTGTGGTATGTATGTCATGATCAGGCTTTTTACATTGATGTCAAAACATATCAGGTATTCATTAAGAGGATTCTGAGCTAAGCAATAGATTTTCTATATTTGAGGATTTTAATTGGCTTTAAATGTCATCTTATGTGATTAAATATAAACATTAAAAACTGCTGTTAAAGAGAAAATATTGTCTAATTTTGGGACTGTATAGGTTGTGGTTTTAAATGAATAGAGAGCTGGGCATAGTGGTACAGGCCTATAGTCTCAGCTCAGGAGGTAGAGGCAGGAGGATCTCTGTGAGTTCAGTTCAAGGCCTGCTTTAACTGTATAGTACGTCTTGTCTTGAAAAACCAAGAAAAGGTAAAGAACTCTCCCCCAAAATAACAAATGAAGGACCATTTTGTATCTGTATATTCAAAATAGTTAGGATAGATATGCAACTACTTTCTTTTAATTCAATGAATAGAAAGATTTGTTCTAATAGTGTTTGTGGACAGGATATCATGTCTGCATCTTGTACTATGAATAACCACTAAGAAGACAAAAAACAAAACAAAACAAAAAAAACCCCCAAAACCCAAAATAACCCCAAAAGCCAAATGAATTGAATTAGTTTACAGTAAATGCCTAAGGGAACCACTGGCAAGTTTTATTCTTGTTATTATAGTGTCATTCTTTAATGAGAATCTGTGGAATACCAAGCAGTACCAGTCACTCTTGTAGATGTTCATTATCCCCCAGAGGGTTAAACTCCTTTTGGTGACTTATGTTTGTTTGAAATAGAGGTTAAAGTGTGTTCTTTGTCAACAGGGTGATTCTGAAGAGGATGTGGAGGAGTCGTCTCAAGAACAGAGGTAAGGCAGGAAACGAGTAAAATGCCTGCATGGTACATTTCTCTGCCATCTCTGAATATGCTCTGACATTCTTGATTATGTCTTTGCTTATATATTGACTATTATCTCTTTGGTCTTTATTCCTCTCTTCTGTGTGTGTTCTCTAACAGTTTATCTGTTTTCAAATGAGGCAGTACTGAAAGCTTTTAGAGGTAGTTGCTCACTTTTCCTATTTGTTCCTAGGTATCCATTACAGTTGGGTACTGTACTGAGTGCCATACCTGACACAGAACAGGATCTGCCTTACATGTGGCAGGCAGTCATTGAAACTTGAAGAAACTTGAAGAATGAAGCTCTATGTGGGGAATAATTAAGTAGCTTTTGGGACACTCCTCTGAGGAGGTAATGCTCCACCTGAAATGTGGAGGAGAGGGGAGCAGCCAGAGAGCAGGCACAGGGCGAATATCTTGGGTAGAAGGCAAAGCAGGCCCACGAGGAATCCAAATGACTGTGTTGGAATGTAGGATAGGGAGATGTGGTATAGAATGTTGGCAGCCACACTAAGAAGTTGGGATTCATTTTTAAATGTGATGGAGTTTTTTTCTTTGACACAGGATCTCGCTATGTAGCTCAGGCTGGCCTTTCACTGGAGGCAAACCACCTGTCTCTGCCTCCTGAGTGCTGAGGTTACAGGTGTGCACCACCACACTTGGCTGAATGTGGTGAAAGTTCTTAACAGATTATGAGCACAAAGCTAATGTTAACATTACAAATTTAGTCTTCAACAGAATGTCTTGGTGGGGAGGTATTCTTCGTGAGTGGACCACATGGGGAGGTTCTACAAGATATACCAGGGCGTAAGGACAATTTTCAGAGATAATTTTCAAGTACTCAGTGTCTGGATCCTCATATATTCTCCTAAAATTGATCTGTCTGATGTTGAATGTTACTTCCTACCTCAGATTTTACACCTTCTCCATGTCATAAAAAAAATCTAGTCCCACTGTTTACTTCATCTCAAGCTAACAAAAGGGCTGTTTAAAATATTGGTACCGATTAGGAAAAAGTAATTAACTTTGATGAGATGACAGGTTCTTTTGTAAGTGTGGAGGTTTTCAGACCCATGCTTTCAGTGAAATTAAAGGAGGATGCAATCAAATTGGGAGCTTTAATTATTTTTGATGAAAATTCATTGTGTGCTTTTTCTTTGATAAAACACTAAGTTGAGTGAATATAGTGCTACTTCCAACAAAATTCCTTCTCAGCATATTTATAATGACAAACTTTTTGTGCATATATTTAAAAAATGATGGGAAAATAGGGTTGAATTGATATTAATTAAACTTGTCTAGTTGTAGTGTGGGTTCATATGACAGTTTAAAGGATCCATCTTGTTAAAGGAGGCATTTTCTGTTTTCTTTTTGTTTTGGTCTTAGAAATTGAACTGAGGGCCTTGTGTATGCTGTGCACTTTCTCTGTCACTGAGCTATATGCCCAACCCTGATACATATAAAGAAGTGATTGGGAATCTTATTTAAAATGTCAGTGCTTAAGAAAAAAAGTACCAGCACTTGCAGTATGGCAGAGATTACACTTTAACATTCTTTTTTTTTTTTTTTGGATATATGGAAATTTTAAGAAAGGTGAAAAGTGTTTATGGTAGTTCAGACTAGAGTGGTAGTGGTAGGGTTGGAGGGAAATGATGTCTTTTTGTGGTGGGATATGTTATTTGTTGACTCAGTTGCAGGGTTGTGAGGAAGGCAGAAATCACAGGGGCTTCTCAGCTTTGGCTTTACATGGGGCAGTGTGACTGACAGGAGAGGGTTAGTGGAAAGGAAATGGGGAGCTCTGCTGGGTTGTCTCCAGGGAGTCTCCAGATGGCAGGATGCCCGCAGAGAGAGAGAGAGAGTGGGCGGTGTGTCTGGCTTTGGAGGCCTGGCCTGTAGCTCCAGGTTGAGGTATTTGAAGCCCACAGGGGGCTTTGCCAACGGTGCCTGGCATCTGCTCTGATTTGTATACAGTTCTTGCTGACTTTTTGGTGCCCAGGCTGGCACCTAGGGCCCTGGGCGTGCTAAGCAAGCATATGATCTGCCGCTGACCTACAGCACCTGGCACCCTTTCTTCCTTAGAATTGCTGTTTATGCCAATTTTCCAGTGAACTTAGAGGTATTAGTAGGTTTTAACCTCTTGTGTTTTTTGACACAACATGAGATAATTAGAATAAAATCTGTGTAGGGAGTAGTAAGGAAGAATTATATCTGTTTAGAACAGTGGCTTCCAAACTTTTTATGGTGATGTATAGTAATGAATTTTACATCACATAGTCTGTACTTGTAAAAATGAGTTGAAGTTTTACAAAGGTGTACTCTTGCCTGCAATGCACTCTCTGTTCCATTTTATTTCATTAAGAAATGTTTGGTACCTAATTGGTTTATTGTTTATATTTTGGCGATTATATATATATATATATATATATATATATATACCTGGAATTGTCATACTGTACAGTTCACCTATATGAAGTGCTTAGTTGGATTTTGGTGTGTTTGCAACAATGTAAAAATGCTTTGGTCCCCTCACCTCCACCCCAGAGAAATGCCTTACCCTATTGCATCAATCTCTGATCTCCTAACCTTCCAGATTGATTGGAAAATGCTGTGGATCATGACTTAGAGCAATCAGCCGTAGTTTTTTTTGTTTGGGCCCCTCAGCCCACCCTGAGGGCAGGGCTGGCACGGACCATGGTGCAGGTGATGGAACTGCAGTCCCCTGTGCCTGCCTAAGCTTGCCTTAGCAGGCGCTTTAGACAAACACTGAGCTATCTCACCGGCCCAGCCCTAGTTTTTATGATTTCTTTTCTTTTAGTATTTGCTGTTATTTCTGGTTGGTTGGTTTCTTTCTTTCTCTCCCCTTCCCTCCCCTTCCCTCCCCTTCCCTCCCCTTTTTTCTCCCTTTCCCCTTCCCCACTTCTTTCACCTCCTGTACTGGGAATTGTATTTGGGATTCTCAAATTGAGCTAGATTCCTAGTCTTTTTTTTTTTTTTTTTTTTTTTTTTTTTTGTTGACTTGGCCAAGCTGGCCTTGCCCCAACT